AAAAAAAAAAAAAAAAAAAAAAAAAAAGGCTGAGTATGTAATTCAGGGGTAGAGTTAAATCATCAATACCAGAAGAAAATAAATTAGAGTGAAAATCCCAGATCATTTCCATCTTGTTTCCAACAAATTTTCTTTCTATTTTCAAAAATAGTAGGCCAATTTTCCTACATATAAAGAGATAAAATTCATTTTTCTCTGTCACTCAACTATGAAATGTGCTAACCAGTCACTTTTTCATCTGGTTTTCATTGTGTCACCTTAGGGACAAGTCGGGGGCAAAAGGATCTTACACAATTATATTTATTATTATTTATAATCATCCAAAATGTACATGTATACTTTAGATAAAATTATTAAAACTAATAATAAAAACACAAGTTGATAGCTCTTTATATATGTATTTACCATTTTTGAAATTTCAACTACTAATTTTAGTTCCAGGGTATCACTTTAATGACAGGAGAGAAATTAATATGGAAGAGAATAAAGAAAGACGCAATTAGACCCAACAGAATTAGGAGGATAAACTGAAAAGCCTCATGTGAATAAATTGAAAATGTTCTGTGTTTACTTAAAAACATGTCAGTAACAGCCAATCATTCTTTGTGCCGCTAAGAAAAGAATAATGCTTTCAAAGTTTAAAGCTAATATTTGAAAATCCTGTTGTTTGTAAATTAATGATTTGTAAGATAAATAGAGAAAAATTGATTTTGTTTTTAGATTAGATGAGAATCCTAAAAGCCTATCAATGAGGAATATTTCTGCAAATGTTAGACATTTCTATGCAGTTTATTTCTTATATGGCTTTATTCTTATTCAGAACTTCTTAGGATGAATCAAATAAATAAAATTAATGACTGTCTTAAATTTGTTTTAAATCTGTTTTTTGTGTTAGAAAGACTTAAAACATACAAATACTTTTATTTTGTGAAATTTACTGTGCTATTGCAACTTCATCTTTCTAAGGGGGAAAAAATAGTCCTGCTGTTATATAGGACAGAAGCTGCAAATAAACTGAAGTGATGGTAATTCCCCACAGAGCAAGTATTTCAATAGTAAACTTTAACAGCATGATTGAAAAAGAGTGAACTAGTCCATTAAATTTCTTTTATTACTGTAAAATCTTTCACTCCAAGAAGAAGTAGTTGCCACCATTCCCCACACAGTGCTGCAGTTTTATTTAACTAATTCCCTCCTCCTCACTGGGAAAAATCATGAACTTCAGTTTGATTACATAGAGTTACTTAAAGTAAAAATCAGTTAAACTATTCACAGTCTACAAATAATGCATCTAATAATCCTTCTCCTACTGTGAAATACATGATCCATTTCTGTAAACTACATTCAAAAATGTCTCTATTTTATTACAATTCTATTTTACACTTTGTTTTGTTTTGTTTTTTGAGGCAAGGTCTCACTGCATAGTTCAGGCTAGTCTTGAACTTTGTAGCCCAGGATTGTCTTAAACTTACTAGTACTGGGATTACAGGCCTGTTCCACCACACACAGCTATTTTAAACATTTCTGAAATTGAGTTGTCTGCTACTTTATAATTAATTTCAGCATTCTTTAAATATTTAAGCTATAGATATTTAGTCAGATATTTATGCTGCAAATATCTTTATTGTCTTTTCAATCTTAATATTGTTTTCTTGTTTAAATGTAGCTCTTATTTTCAGAGAAGTCAAAATTATCAGTCTTTTTTGTATTGTTTTTGTCTTTCATTAGATATATTTTCACCAGTATTATGCACCATTTTATATTCTTATTTATAATTTTTTTCTTTTTTTGGTACCGGGAATCAAACTCGGGTCCCTGCACTTGCAAAGCAAGTACCAGAACCACTGAGCTAAATCTCTGGCCCTTATAATTATTAATTAAGTATCTTATTTAAATTTCCTTGTAGAAGTAACCCAATTCAGTACAATGTTATGTGAATATCTGTTTTTACAGATTTTGGAGGAGGTTCAAAGTGAATCATCCAGTAATTAGGCTGTTGATGATGACTTGAATCTTATAAGCCAAATAAGTTAACAATGTATGAAAGATAGGACAGATAGAAATATTGATATGGGGGGAAAATGTAACTCTCAGTCTGTTAGATGTCAGACTCACTGAGTTTGTATTCCCCAAAATCAAAGAATTAATTTGAAGGAACAACAAACATTAAGAGTACGAAAATCTATTGGAGAATAAGAATGGAGATTAGGAATTGGGGAATACGAATAGCTCCTGAGACACAGAAGGGGCCCTGAATATGAGGTTACCAATGATCCCTCTTCTTAGCTTCATAGAGCAAAGTTATTATTCTGGTAATACATGACCATTTTGTATCATTTTGACTAGTCAAGTATTTATTTATATTACTGTTTTTCTTCATCCTAATCAAGGTCTTCATTCTGTACTTGTCTATCTATCATAATATTATAGACAGCTAAACTAGGTAGAAATATAATAGGCAGTCACACAGAAGTAGGACCTGGAGGAAGTCAGTGCAGAAAATGAGAAAACATCAAAAACTGGTTAGAGTCACATTTGAAGAAGATTAAAATCACAATGACCGGATTTACATGCTTCCCTTAGGAAGCTTGAAAGGATTTGTACCACCTTTTAGATAAATAAATCATTATCTCATTAGGAGTGGGCTATCCTCTCCCACCCAGTAAGACTAAGACTACTAAGACTAAGTCTATTAAAACTAAAACTAGGAGCTGGGGCAGTTTGGTGGCCTGCGTTGCAAGCGCAAGGACCTGAGTTCAATCCTGGCACCAAAAAAAAAAAAAAAAGAACAATCTAAAACTAAAGGCAAGACTAAGACTATAGATTATCAAGCAAGATTAATGATGTCATCTATAAGTGGTTATATTTGCAGTCTTACTGGTTGATTTTTTTATTGGTTGATTTTAATTTGAACCACCTCTCATGACTTTGATCTTTAAATCTTTCTCAAAGAAGTGAGTACAGTGAGACTGTGTCACACACACAAAAACAATTTTTACCATGGCATCTCACTATCTCACTTAAAAGCCTTTATAGCAGAGCTTTATCTCTTTTTTTTTTCTTATTGGGTATATCGGTCCATTTTAGGTATACAGTACAGTTACATTCATCATTGGGATCTTGTACCTTTACATGGCAGGTCTTGGTTCTCATTTTCCCCATACTCCTGCCCTCCCTTCACCCCCTCCTCCTTCCCCTATTTACAAAATAAGGGAAAAGAAAATAATATCCGAAAATGAAAAAAACTGAAATGAAGTTTTTGTATATACAGCTTTATCATTTTAATCATGAGAATCTAAAGAATTTATGGAGA